TAGAAACATGCATATTTATCAAATTTTCACCTCTGAGGAGGCTTGGATGGTGATTGTATGCAAGTCGAAGTGCAAGATGTGCTGCAGGAAGCCAAAGTCTTGTTGAAACTACAACATTTAAATTGGTTTAATTTTTGATCGATATGCAACATTTAATTATGATGGCTTATAAGCTTGTATTTGCATTGCCATTGATGACTATTAAAGGGATAGTTCACACTGTAAAAAGATTCATGCTGCCTTCAATCAAATTAATTTTTTTTAAGTCATCTCAAATTGCATCAATTAAACTGACTAAAATTAACGTTGTAATACTAATTTAGTTGAAGCCTGATTAACTTATTAAAATGTTAAAGCAACATAAAAATATCTGTTGTTGTTGTTGTTTTACAGTGCACCCAAAATTAAAAATGTACTCACTATTTACTGTAGCAATTGACACATAATAGAGATAAACTAATACTTTAGAAGTCATTGATTACCAATTTAAATCTTCTTTTGTGTTCAAACTCATTTTTCGGGCGAACTATCCCTTTAAGATCACTCTCTATCAAGAGTTTGTCATAATATTATTTTCAGAGTCTTTAAAGTCATCCTATTTTGCTACTTTAAAGGTTCCTAGTTGAATTCTGGAGTCTCCTGCTATAGATTTTCATGCAGTAAAAAAAAACGTCAGCTCTTTTCTTACAGGGTCTGAAATGATTTGTTCAAAGAGTCTCTCTAAACCCCACCTCTCTGAGTCCATACTCTGCTCTTATTGGTCAGATCAGTGTGATTTAGTCTACAGCTTACAACACATGTCAGAATATAACCAAATTGTTATAACCATACCTGAATTTCAGCCCATTAATAAAGATGCATGATTATTTTATTTTTATTTTTTATTATAGTTTTGAAGGGCTAGAATCTTAGGCCTAAATGATTAGCTTTTCTCCAAAGATGTGTTTTCTTATGTCGTGACGTATGGAATGCTGTTTCCAGGTCCAAGCTACTTATTTGAATTGAGAAAATGTTCATTTATGGACACCTTTTAGTCATGTCACACTTTAAAGTGAATTTTATATATAATCATAGTGTACACAACAGTCTCTGGCCTTGCTGTGTCACAAATTGCTAAATTTTACCAATTTATAAAAAAAATGATTACCTTCTGGTCTATATTGCGATTGTGATTTTCATAAGTAATACATCGCTTTGTAAACTTGTATTATTACAATTTGATGAGTCTTCCCATTTAGTTTGACAGAGTGCTTGGACCCAGAAGCCATTTCGCGGATTGCACCCAACATACAACAACGGTTAACCAATCGGCTGTGTGAACTCTATGGCTTCCTTCTTCTTTAGATACTTGTTTTTTTTGGCAAGTTTATTTATGTAGCACATTTCATACACCATGGCAATTCAAAGTGCTTTACATAAACCAGAATAAAAGACAATTATAATTTATATATATATATATATATATATATATATATATATATATATATATATATATATATATATATATATATATATATATATATATATATATATACACTGATTAAAATCTGTTAAAACAACTTATAAAAGAATAAAAATGAAGTTGATGTTTAATGACTAAAAAACACTATTGTAATCAATGTTAATAGAGTTACACTCACAGTATTTTGCTGGTTGTTCAAACTAATTTAAAATGAGCTTATCAACACAATTCACAATTTTTTGTGGATTGAACATTGTTTTATGTTCAATCCACTGAAATTTGCAAATACGATTAGGTTAACCTAATCTATTTGTGTTTGAACAACATGGAGGGGTTGTGTGGAACCCATTTTTTTATTTAATTATTTTTACAGTGAACCATATGGTTCCTCACCTGATCGACAAGTTAAATACTATTTTTTTTTTTAATGGAAGAAAGAGTAAACCCATTTTAACTTGATTCAAGTTCATTTATATAATTTTAAGGCAACAGGTTTACTAAATATGTTTTAGTTAGTAAAGTCAACTAATTGGGTTTAACCACTTGTACTACAATCACTTTTTACAGTGTATAAATTATTAAATATCAACATATTTTAGTCTTATAATTTTCTGTTCATACATAAAGTCAATAGTATCTGGATGCAGCCTTTATGATGCAAGCTGAGACTGCATCACTCAGCGATGCACTGTCAGACACAATGCACTCAAATGGAGCTAGTGACGTCACTGTGACGGGTAGGGTTAGGGGTGGGGTTAGGTGAGCCCATTAAAAAGCATTGGATGCAGCCCAGATTGCACTGCACCAGGTCTGCAGCCAGACCCCTCTCCATAAAGTCGAAGTAAACAATGTTCATGGTCACCAAAGACCACCGTAGACTGGCATTATGCAAACATGTTACAAAACTGCAGAAAATAAAACTGAAGCTTTGCGATTATTATTATTATTATTTTTTTATTATTATTATTTTTATTATTATTTTAAAAGTTCAAGTACAATAAACACTACATGAAATGTCTGAAAAAGCATAACGGGGCACTTTAAAACACACCAGTCACACTTTACAATAAGGGTGTATTAGTTAATGTTAACTAAAGTATTTACTAAAATGAACTAAGTTTGACATTACTTACACTGCATTTTTAAATCATAGTTCAACATTTACTGCTGCCTTAAATCCACATTCAGTTTTGTTAACATTAGGTAATTCACAGTCAGTTAACATTAAATAACAGTGAACAACTGTATTGTCATTAACTAACTTGAACAAATAATGTATTGTTCATTTGTTTGTTCATGTTAGTAAATGCATTAACTAATACAACCTTAGGTAACACTTTAGTTTAGGTCACAATTCATGGTATTAACAAACCATTAACTAACACTACTAGCTTAATAAACTACTAATTAGCTGCTAATTTTTAGTTAGTAAAGTAAAATTTGGCTTTGGGTAGGATTTGGGTTTTGGGTAGGATTAGGGATCTAGAATGAGATCATACTTTATTACTACTAATGAACAGTTAATATGTAATAGGTAATACGCCAGTATTTAATAGCATGAATTGTGACCTAACTGATGTGTTAAACCTTTTTGTAAAGTGTTACCCACACAGCATTCCTCAAAGAGCTTAATGTTATGTCTTTCTCTCTACAATGTACACATTTATTTATTATTTTGTTCATTATCTTCTGTTATTCGGAGAAGTGTACTTTAATCATCAACGGCAGCTCCAGGTATATGCACATGCATGATGTGCAAGCTCTCAGTGCACAGACTACTGATGAGTATTTTTATATATCGTTTTGTTACTCCCAGCGAAGCATGTGGGATGTGAAAACTGAATCTGCTGGTTTATGATGCTTTAAAGGTGCTGAACTGTACACAGTTTTTTTCTGTTTTTGTTTTTTCATGTGGCTTCTGTTGCTTTAAGGTAGTTCATTCTAATGTTTTTAGTTTAGTAAAAGCTTGTTAAGACATGAAAAAGGGATGCTAATTTGATCACCTTTTTTTTTTTTACCTGTTCATTTATATGCAACCTGAAAAACAACAACAATCACAACAATCAATCTAATTTCTTGATATTTTAAAGACTGACTTTTAAGAAAGCAATTATTGATCCATACTGATACAAAGACAACTTGCTTGGATATACCGCATATAACATACATTCGCAATATGTGTTCTAATACAGTTTGGATTTTGCTGCCTGTAGTGCATACTGTTTTCAAGACCTTCTTTTAAATCAAAGTACACTGTGGGCTTCATCGGTTCAGGAGTTGTTTTGCTCCTCCAAGGAAATTAAATTACAGTGGCTAAATGTATTGTTGAGCTCCTTGGTTTTCTTTTCTCACTTTGCATTTTTGCACATTTCTATATTGTCTGAAGTTTCTTCAAAATTAAATCATGATGGTAATCCGGTGGCTGCTAGATTGCAAGTGCGATAGTTTTGAATTATTACCTCCGAGAACTTCCCATAAATGACCACAAGACCACATTAGAGGAAACATACTGGACATATTAAGCTTCTTGGAGTTGATCTTTGGCAGAGATTCGGTTTACACAGTTCGCAAAATACGCCTACATAAGACAGAGGCTAGAATGAGATTGATATATTTCATTCATTCATTTTCTTGTCGGCTTATTCCCTTTATTAATCCGGGGTCGCCACAGCGGAATGAACCGCCAACTTATTCAGCAAGTTTTTACGCAGTGGATGCCCTTCCAGGCGCAACCCATCCCTGGGAAACATCCACACACACACATTTACACACACACTCATACACTACGGACAATTTAGCCTTCCCAATTCATGTCTTTGGACTGTGGGGGAAACCGGAGCACCCGGAGGAAACCCACGCAAAGGCAGGGAGAACATGCAAACTCCACACAGAAACACCAACTGAGGCGAGGTTCGAACCAGTGACCTTCTTGCTGTGAGGGGACAGCACTACCCACTGCGCTTCGCCTGATATAATTCATTCATAGTAAATATTTTCAACGATATTAAACAATAATAATACAATTTTTATTGACTATAGTTAATATACTAAACTATTAGTTAAGAAATAAGAATAGTAAAAGATAGATAGATAGATAGATGGATGGATGGATGGATGGATGGATGGATGGATGGATGGATGGATGGATGGATGGATGGATGGATGGATGGATTTTTATTTATTAGAGATTTTTTTTCTGGACAATATTTTGTCCAAATAATATTGAAGCATTTATTTAAAACAGAAACCTATTGAAACAGCATATTGGTGATTTAATGCATCCTCGTTGAAGAAAAAAATCTATCTTTATATGTCTTACTTATTTTTTCAATACAAACCATAAAATGCCTTTAAACTAACCCAAAACCTCATTCACATTCACACATTATTTTGATGATTTACAGCCCCTCTGAGATCCAGCTGTCATTCATTTATTCATTCATTCATTCATTCAGTCAGTCAGTCAGTCAGTCAATAAGTGTGTAATAATATATGAACCCCTCCTCCAGGAACGTCACACTAGCAAAGGGAGATCAATGTCTCCTCCAGCCAGTGAGAGACTGAGGGTCCTTCAGCACACCACACACTACCTGCATGAGGTGTAGATTTATTTCTGGATCACTCAAGAGCGCATCACAGACCTGCATTCATTCACGGATGACCAATGTAGATTCTGGAGCCTCAATAACGCGTGATTGAGGGACTATAAAACCGCACACACAAACCAGAGCGATCTTCACGCAAATCCACTGGACAGAAGGAAACTCGCGACACATGGAAGATCATCTGAAGAACTCCGAGAAGGATATTAAAGTTCGTTTGGAGACCAAGAAACTCTTTGAGGCAGGAGATCTGAGGAACACGCGGACATGATATTTGAAGGCTGCTCATTATCGGTTTAAATGTGTGTTTCTGAGGTTTTAGATGGATTGGTGTTCTACGAGGGATGCTCGTAGATAAGCATACGTGAACTGGGACTGAAGAGCGCATTTCATCTGATCAAAAGTGCAGCTCAGTTGTAACATCGTAGTATATAGTGACTTTATTATTATTATTTTCCACGAAAGTCATGCTGATTCGAAGCCAGGCTTTACGGTGGGCAGTTTTCTTGACACTTTGTGCTCTGATGGTGAAGGGCTTCCCAGCAAAAAGACGCAGAGCAAATCACATCAAGAGCAAGAGTGGTGCATCTCTGGAGGTATGATTGACATCAGTCTTTTTTTAAAATATATGTATTTAAGCGTATTAGACTTTTTTAACCTTTTATTTGACAACTTCAGCTGAGTTAGATTGTTGTAATGAATGCTTGATATCATAACGTAAAACTTAAAATATTTAAACGTCATTAAAAAAGTATTTTGGATGGTAATGGCATTGTAGTAAAACAAGTTTACCATGCTATTATATAGGTGAAAAATAATGTATGGCTATTTTTTTCTTTAAAAATGATTTTCTGTTTATTATTAAAGCTGAAAAAAGTTGTGCTGCTTAATCATTTTCTGGAATGTCTTAAATCTATTTAATTAAAAAATAAATACTTGTATGCATCATGGGCACATACAATTTATTGCATGTTAAGATGTTGCAAAATCTTTTTAGAGCACATCATTTTACAGTGGTTGCACAGTTAATTAGTTGTCTAAATAAATGAATGATATCAAAACTTGGAACTTGGAAACGTGACTACTTATAATGCCAATTAAGTCTTGAACCAATAAAATCTGAACATATTTTGTGCCAAGTCATGGATGGAATACAATTAATTTAAGAATGTAATTATTAATACACATTATTCAATTGTGACATACATTTTTTCAGAAATATAAGTACAATTATTATTAAGTAAGCCGCAGCGGCAATAATAATTTAGCACAATAGAGCAGCAAATCAGTATATTAGAATTGTAAAGACTCATGTGACATTAAATAATACTGAAAATCCAGCTTTGATACAAAGGAAACAATTCTAAAATATATTCACAAAGAAAATAATTAATATAAAAATATAATGCAAAGCAGTTAAATTAATAAGTCAAAAATCACAGCCAGTGTTGTAAAGAGTACTGAAAAATCATACTACCATTACTTGCTTAAAATGTAGTGCAAGTAGAGTAAAAGTATCTGTGGTAAAAATTACTCAAAGCATGAGTAAAATCCCTTCAAAAGTACTTAAGAGTAGTGAGAAGTGAGTATTATATATTGTAAAAAGCTGATGCATTTACATGTAATTTGTGGATGTGTGTAAACGTAACATTCTGTAGTGCATTTAGGTATTGCCCAGCAGGCACACAACGTCATAAGACGTTAATATTAGGTTAGACTTAGGTTGTGACGTCAGGTGACCAAAATTCAATGTCTAGCCAGTGTCTAAGGATAACGTTATTTTGATTACCAATATCAATGTCAAATAACATTGATATTTGGTTGATTTTAGGTTGTGTTAAAAAAGTGATCAAATCCAAAGTCGAGCCAACATTTTAACTCATATTGATGTCAAAAACTGACATTTGTCAGGTATGGCAACCAAAATCTAACATCTGATAGATGTCATAGTGGTAACGTGACATCCACACAACATCAAGCTGTAACATCATTAGACATTGATATTTGGTTGATTTTATGTTGGAAGTTGACGTCGACCTGACTTTAAGTTCTGAAGTCAAACCGTTTTTTATTTCCAAACAAAACGCAACATCCTCAAGGCATTAAGGTACAACTTCAATTTAACACCATGTTAACATCTTGTGCCTGCTGGGTGTTTCAGGTCATTTCGGTCATCATACACTAAACCGTCTAATCCATCATCTTCTCATCAGTGACATGCATCTAAACAGTCTCTGAGTCAATGGGTGTAAATATTTTGTATGTCTTCTTGGACATTTTTATGCTTCCAAATATTTTGCTGCAATTATAAATCGCCCATGTCTTGAGGTAGTTCATTAAGATGCGATTTACTTTCTATGTGTGGTTTGATTGGACAAGAATCACAGGACTGATTTTTATAATAATAAATTTTGTTACTTTACACCACTGATAACAATATTAATGTGTTTTGCTGTTTAGCTTTGGTCAACAGAAGAAGCTATATATAGGGAAGATTACGACTAGTTGTCACATGGGATATATTCCAGTGTAAACTCTCAGGCGAAAACCTTGATCAGCACATATTCAAAAAGTTCTAATATATTTTTAAATGTACTAATACTTTCCTAGTACTGGGTTGCCACTGTTTAAATATGCTGGATAAGTTGGCGGTCCATTCCACTGTGGCGATCCCCAATGAATAAAGGGACTTAGCCCAAGGAAAATGAATGTACCAATACCCCTAAACAGTGAATCGATATATTTGATGACAACTACAGTAGCCCCAGTCTTCTCTCCTGTGTACCAGAACTCAATGAATTCAAATAAGTCTTTATATAGAGCAGCAGGTGTCAGACAGGTAGTGTATAAATCTCATTTTATCTCATATAATATCACTTCATATCCAGAAAGAGCCGGGAATAAGTTTCTCTGAGGTCAAACCACACCGAAATGCAGTTTCCATAGTTAAAATGTGCTTAATGCCTGGAATGTCGGAGTGGTTAATTTACCCCATCTGTTAAATGATAAACCACAGTCTAATGTTCATGGCTTGTTTTGGGTATTTAATTCATTAATTTCTCCTTCAGCTGAAAAGTGAGGTCACATTGAATCCTGGGTTATGCAGTGACTTTTTTTTTTTCACGGATCAGCTTTATGGAGTGTTAACGCAGAGAGGAAATGCAAGCCCACCCCAGGCTGCCTTTTAATAGTCATTTTCCTCCTGAGAAGAATTTCGAACACAAGTCCACCATCCCAAAATGTAAAAACGAAAGCCCCTCATGCATCAATATAACAGATACTCCACTCTCTATGTAAAACCTAAGCAGGGGGTTAAAACACATCTTGCTCCAAGGTGCGAAGATCTTACAGAAAGCAGATCTCTGTGCGGTGATACTAGGGTGGGACAAGACCGTCTTTGTGCATTCTGCAAAAACATCACGTCTCCCCCACCTTTTAAGCCAATTGGGAAAGATGTTTTTATTAAAGTAGCCACCGGGGTTCATGCAGACATGGGAGGGCCATTGTTTCCCCTGCGCAACAGGAAGTCTTCGCTTTACACAAAAGCTGACACTTACTAATCTAAACAGCCAGCTGGAACCCGATACGCCACACTCTGGGAAATTGCATATGAGTTCAGCGGCCTTGGTGCTATAATTGATAAGCCCAATAATCACAGGGCTGTTCCTCTCCTCGACCCAAGCAGACACCAATTCCACAAATGGCGCCAAATTCTTGAGCCCCACTTCGAAGTTCATGTTGCCATTTCTTATGAGTCGGGTGCGGAAAGCTCTCAAATGTCCAGTGCTCTAATTGAGGTTAAGCTGTAACTGTAAACCATAATCTGTTAGCGAATGCCCTGGTAAGACGCTGCGAAAGGCTATATTCGAAGAATTTAATGAAGAAAACCCTGATAATATTTCACAAAAACCACCAGAACACACACATACCACCAGCTTGAATGTAGAAATAGATTTAATAACGTGCCTTCATATTGCTGAGTACAACTTTTTTTAGATCTTGGCCCTACAAAACATGTTGTGCAGCACCGAGATCTGATTATAAACATCTGAAGCTCGTAAAAAGAGCAGATATGCATCCAATTCACATTTGTTTTAAACTTTTAATGTTAATATAGTTGGTATCCAAAAGTGTAGTACCGCTGGTGCGCTTGGTACCAGTTGGTTATCGAGTGTCAACAGGAATTCCTCCTAGCGGGATGTGATTTCTGAGGCTTACATGACGTTAATGAACAGTGTTTGACACAAGCCATCTGAGAGAAGCCAGACGTGGATCTGTGTGGGATACTGTATATTCATCTATCCTTGAGTTTCACTTGCACGTCTTGCTGCAGCACAAAGAAGTGTTTTGTATGGAAACCCAGTTCTGCCTGTGTAAAAAACAATCAAGGTAAACGTGACAGTACGTCATAGAAACACAATCATGAAAGTCAGTTGCTTTTACTAGAAATTAAGTAACAAAAATAGTGTGATTTTTGAACAACAAATGTAAGAAATATAGTTGCGGTTTTGGGATATAAAGCTGAAATTATGATAAAGTTGTTTATTCCTATGAGGAATATAAGCTGGAATTATAAGATATGAAGTCATGTGCTGCGTCCCAATTCGCATACTTCTACTACGTCCTAAAAGTATGTACTTTTTTTGTGAAGGAAAAATATGTACTATTGAGTGTCTAAAAGAAAAGTGTGCAAGCTTACTTCACATACTTCTTCATCGTTAACAGGTCATTGTGTTGCTTAGTTCTGAGCCCTGTCAATCATCCACACATCATTCACATTTCTGTCATATTTAATTTCCTACGTTACTGGAGAAGCAGCAGCAGGTTAATCTTGTTAATATCCAAACACATCTTTATATAAGTTCAGTATTGTTGTTGCAGATAAAATATAACACAGAAAACGTGATTTAAATATTTTACAGTGGGCTAGATATTAATTTACAGTCATACAAGAATCTTTACCAAAGCCTCTCTACTTAACGGTTGGTCTCGCGCGTCCACCATGTTTGTAGTTTATTAACTTTTCCCTCTCGTTTGTAGTTCTAATCGAATTCACGTCCAACACGCAATGTACTGTGATCAATATCAGCTGTTAGTGTATGGACAGTTCTACACTTTAAATTTTTACCGGAATTAGTAAATCATCCGAGAACCGTTGACTTACTCTTTTCACCATAGTATGGTGAAGGACATACTAATTCTATTTTCAAGTACTATTTAGGATGGATAGTATGCAAATTGGGATGCAGCAATGGTTTTAAGAATGTTGCAGTTCCTAAAAATAAAGTATTGAAATATTAAGCCACAACATCCATTAACATTATATTATTTTAATATCATTTTAAATGTGTGAAAGTATACATTGTGAGAGATTAGATTATGAATGTGACATATTAGATATGAAGGGGCTATTTTTTTTTATAAATAATGAGGCCATCCAAAGAAAGTCCCAGCTTTGAGACTGGAAGTTGCATTTATGAGAAACAGTGATATGAGAAGTAAAGTGTGAAAGGTCTGGCTGCAGACCGGATGCACATGCAAGCTGAGACTGCATGCAGTATTCATGCATACACCTAACCTTACCTCTCACAATGAC